AAAGAGAAAAAACAAACCTACAGATAGGAAAACCTTCAAGGTGAACAAAAGAACATTTCACTAAATACCTTCAAGAACAAGGCACAAGCTAGAAAGAGAAACTTTTAAAAATTGGTCGCTGTCTCTTTTTTTATAGTGATATGTTTCTATCATAATATTATATCTGTTAGACGTGCAGAGGTTTAACAGCAGTTAATGCCACCAGGGAGGAGCATGTGTTTTGGGTCACTTGACATGTCGTGCTGGGGGCAGGATCTTCCAGTCACATGGTGATCTAACCTATAGGAAGTCAAGATTAAACTTATAAAACAATTATCGCAAGATATTTTGCCAATCTACTGATGAAATGACACCCTCCCGTTGGTGTGTGCTGGCACTCTATGGCCATCATATGAGGACTTTTTTATTGATAAATCTTTTTGGTTTGATTAGTATTGAGGCATTCTCAAAGATGGTATCTATTTCGTCGGCTTTGTTTGATTTAAAGGGCCTCCCATTGCAGTTCCTCTTCCTTTTTGCTTGAGAGCAAATATTATCAATATGTTTTGTAAATGTACCTATTGCTCACATATCTTAATTAAGCCACAAAATCCCAATAAATATTCTCTAAGAAGGACCCCTGATAATTGAATAATTTGCCTTAAACTTGGAAGTAATGACTGATCAGGCCATAATTTATGTGCTAACCCCTCCTTATACAGTCGACCCCATATATAATCACTGCACTTAGAGTAACACTGCTGATCACATAAAATTTAGACCCAAATGAGCAAAACTAATCAATTAAGTCATGTTACAAGTCACCTGTTCTCGAGCAACATTTAATGTGACTATACCTGGAGACTACTGTTTTCCTGAGCATATATGCTAGACTGCATTGGTAGCAATACAAGGCTAACCTACTCAAAACCCAAATAATGGGCCTCATATCATATCTTGACTAGCATATGGCCTCTTTGTCCTAAATCAGGCACCGACTGTAGTGTCAGTGCCAGGTGCAGACAGGCTTATTCCTTATGTGGATTTCCCCTGCAGTTCTGCGCAATGAAAATAATACAAACCTTCCAAGATCAGTCAATGTTTTCTCGTCATCACTTTTACCACTGTTATACTGCCCATGGCGAACAAATATCAAATGCCTGGTTGCTTTTGGCTTTTTTATCTTATCTTCTGTTGCATCTTCTTCACCGCTCGAGCTGTCACTTTCAACTGAAAAATTCTTTTTCAACACAGTATCATCAATCACATTTAGGTTTTTTGACGCGATTATCCTTTTTATATCGCCGAAATTCCTCCTATCCCAATCAGAGTCCCACTGTTTTGCTTTCAGTCGTTCTTCGAGAGTTTCAACCGGGGCATCTAATATCGGAGATTGTGCTGAGGCTCTATCAGTTACAAATGCGTTGTAAACAGCCACAGAACTTGTAGCAGCCGTCAATCCACCAATTGTTAAAATTCGTCCGAAGGATGCACGAAAGCGAGCCATTCTTTACCTGATTGTGGTCAACAAACAAAACCTTGTTGTGGCCTCTCGCAGATACGGATCTAGGCTAGGCCATTAAAAATATGAACAAAATAAGTGACCTTATAGCATGGATGCAATGGCAATATTTTGATAGCAAAATTTCACGGCTATTACAATTTAAATCTTTTGACTAAGATCACAAATTGTTTGCCGGGTTTTTAGCAACAATTTTTTTCACAACATGTCACCTTCCATTTGCCACCTTACCTGTCCCATTAACAACTTGGACTTTGAACACTACCTCGTTCCAGGAACAAACTTCATAACGAGGTCTCTAAAGGATTTGCTGCTCTTGAGTAAAAAAAGTCAATCCTCGCACAATTATGGTATAACAATGTATAAATAATACTTAAACTGGTTTGATTCAACAGAATTACATACGTATGATAAGTGAGCTTTAAGTTAGATGGGTTTATATCCAACATAAAACATTATTGTCCGTCTTAAAAGTAGAATTTCTTGATGGGGTGGGGCGCAGATAATCAAACCCATGACAGAAGCCCATCATTAAATACTCTTGTGTTCAAAAGGATATTCTCGATTTTTACTGAAATATGCCTTACTTGATATAAAAAGGCTCTTTACATTTAAAAAGCAACATATTTTCAGAGTAGTTTAAAATAGGCTTTACAAGTCTGAGATTTGCCCAATAAAATCTCCTTTGGCTTATTATTCCAGAGATTAGTACCAAAGTAATAAAGTTTTTTATAGCTAAATACTAGTAATAATGTTTAAATCCAGTAATTAACAGTTTTAGCAGCATCGTTAAAAAGCTGTTGTCGGCTCCGTTTTGTTCACATGCGTGTTTATTGCCAAAATACGTTGCTTTGTAAAGCTTCCATCTAAGGCTAGAGAGATTGGTATTTTTTTCTTTTAAATTGAGCCTTGGTTTGTTTTTATTGAAAAGAAATTTGAATTTTTTCGTTAAATGAACATGCAAAGAAATTTTTAAAATAAGCTTAACCATTCATAGCGAGTAGAAACGTAGTGAATAATGAATTTGTATGTTTCGGTGAAATTGAATCAGAATTCTGATTCAATTGAAATTCTGATTCAAGTCAAATTGAAATATTTAAAGATTTGCATGTGATATTTAGTTCTACAAATCTAATGATCAAAGCATGAACTAGTGGCTAGTATTTTCTGGAAATTTGTCTGTTGATTGTGTGTTGATTCATTAACTTTCCGCATTTGTATACAATCGTTTCCTTCTAACATAGTGCTTCCAAAACCACCGTAGAAAATTTGTAGGGTCATGGAAAGTCCTAAACTGTATGAAAAAAGCCAGTTAGTTTGAACTAAAAAACAATTTAAAAATGACTTTTGACAACCATAACACATCTATTCGATAAGATGTGCCATTCATACACCTCCAGTCATTTCAATCCTAATTGCATATTCTCGAGATTGCATTGTACAGTAAATCCCCGCATATAAGAACCTATTTTTTGAGGTTCAGGCTGAAGTAGGTTCTTATTGGGAAGGTACTTGGATTAATTTCAGGGTATGCAGGTTCTTATTCGAAGGATCCCTTATTCAAAATTTTAGGATTCATTATCAAGAGATGCATTCAACCCTGTTTTCTCCTTTTGGCAATGTTATTAATGCAACATTACAAAGGTATTTACAGGAAGACATTTGAGTGCACTGGCTGCCTTATGACAGTGGATGGATCTGGCGATGATCTCATACGTCCTCAGGAATTGAAAATTATGAATTCTAATGCTTTTATTTCATTTTTGAACATTTTGGATTTTGCTATATATAGTTACGTTAGAAAGTCAAAGTTATTTTGAAGTTCTCCTTCGTTAAAGTGTATAAAATGCTGAAAATGCACAACTGAAAATTTTGATACCGATTGTGGTTTTACCTCCTCTTTAAAAATCTGGGAGTAAATAAGGACCATTGAAAACTCTATTTGTTTGCCCTTGGAATAAGAACCTATTATATTTCATCACACTCAAATAGGTTCTTAATTACAAAGTGCATAATTCAGGAAAAACAGCCTCTAGGTTCTTATTTTTGTAGGTTCTTATATGCGGAGATTTACTGTATCTCATATAGCATTTCCAAGAATCATGAAAACAGTGGCAAAACCCGTTGCAAAATGCAAAAGGCCACATAAACTATGTTGATGTTATTAGATATGCGAAAGTTGTATTTGTTGTGTAGTAATCTCGTCAAGATAATAATACACACGGCTAAAATAATAGCTTCTGGTCAATGTGATAACTTCTCAAGCATTGCAATAAAACACAAAATATATGTTGCTTATAGCGAGGCCCTTAGATTTCATTCTCATTTTGTAGGAANAAGCATTAGAACTGTACATACTTTTGTGTAGATGATGATAAGATACATTTTTATAAATGTTGATATGATCTCATTTGTTGTTTTGTTTCTGACTCAATTCTTGTTGATTTGCATAATTCCAATTTGGTTGCTGATATAAATAACAACGTTTCAACAAAGTGTCAACTGTCAATTGAAAATAATCCTTTTTTTAAAAAAAACTCAATTTCTCAGTAGTTTTTAACTAAAGCAGAAAACTAGCAAGCTTTTCTGTGATATTTTTCAATTCAAGAAGCTCCATGTTTACAATTATTTCCAAATTGATTAAGAATTTATTAAATGTGCAGACAATTGTGGACAATCTGTGAAGCAAAATCCAGAAAAATGCTTGTAGCTTCTAAATGATGGAATGAAAATCAACTACAAGGCCAATTAGATATTATTTGTAGTAACTAATGCTAAGCCCTGAATAAATAGGAAATATCTTTGAATAAGAGACTGCCAAGCTAACCTAGGTTCTTATATACGAGGTTCGACTTTCTAAGTGTTTCTATTAAGTGTTTAACATAGGTATATCAAATAACAATATGTACCAATAATTATTTTAATAGAATAAAGGAAGAAATCGATTGAAAGTATATTTTCAAAAATTTTTGAAGCAGAAAGCTTTCAGAATTAAGACAGAGTAAAAAACAAGTTCTTAGCTGAATGAAGTGAAAAAGGCCCTGGTGCATTTCATTCTTTGATCTGAATAAGAAATTTATTTCCAAACCCAAAAAAGCAAGCTCAGTGATGAGTTGCTCAATGTAAAATGACACCTCCCGCAATAGAAAATTGCGCTGAAGACACTAAATCAAAACGCAAATGCTCTTCCATAAAAAACATTATTTGATACCGTAAAATTGAGTTTTAACAAATAAGTTTTTGCTACTTTCGTTCAAACGAAGTCTGGATATGCTTTTCAAAAGAAGTCTGGATATGCTTTTCTCGATCAACCACAAAGAAAAAGGTCTGAGCAAGTAGCGATGGTTACGAGATGAAATGCATTCTTTAATTTTTGACGTCATGAACAATGATACCTAAATATACGATAACGGAAAGTGAGCATCCCAAAATTCACACGATGGTTTATTATTATCTTAATATCACGTTGCTTGCTTGCTTTCAGTTTCGCATATAGTTAACTATTTCTTGTCATGAACAGTTCTCTTCCTTTTTGTTGTTTTCTGTGCTAAATGCTTCCTATTGCCAATGTTTTGTTTTCATTTACTTTTTCTTTGAGCTGATTGTCACTTTCTGGTTGCTTGCTAAAAACTGTGAGAATTTCGCATTTGCTTACTGCCAGGAGTTTCAACAATGTTTTATCTTTTATTTATTGTTTATAGACAGATGTTCATCCGAAGTTTCTTACAAAAGATAATTTAGTAACAGATAGAGAAGAGATTTTCAGTCTACGCATATAATAGTGTTATGATAAATCTGAAACAAAGAAAAACGTTTTTGAATAAAGTGATGCAAAGTGAGGACACGATTTATTGTCAAAAAACAAGCAAAAAAGATTTATAAATATTCAAATAGATATGTCGAGGAGTAACTTAATCTTTTTTACATGAAAAGGCCGAGAACAAATTTAAAGCATTTTAGAGATAATCATAACTACAAATAGAAAGGGCGAAACAAAGATTTACATACAGGGTTGAAATGAAGCGAAATTATCTTTAGGAAGATCAGAATGAAGAAGGTATAGGCAAGTTTAACATCCATGACAGAATGAATGAACAAAAGATAGTTTTCAACACTAGTGACATAAATTAAGTCAGAAAAACAAAGAAGGTCTAAAAATCTCCACTTTCTATATTTTTAAGAAATGCTGAAAGATTTTATATAGAAAAGTAACAAATTAGCAAATCACAGAGAAAGATTTCAAAACCTGCAAAGGTTTTAATGTAAATATAAATGAATGTAAGCAAAAGAAATTTTTCAATCCTGTATAAGAATAAGCAACAAGCTGTCTCTTAGAAATACAATGAAGTCTGCAAAATGTTTTGATGTACAATAAAATGTGAGTTTTAATCTTCTTTTATGGTTTTACAGTGCTGCGATAAAAAGAATAAAAGCTCCAGGGGGGGTTAACTCAGCTCCAGGGGAAATTTTTACATACGGGGGGTCTATCCAATAGTTGTGGGTAATAATTTTCTTTGCAGTCTGATACTTTTGGGTACCTTATTTAACAACATTTCTTATTGATACTTATGGGTCCAATTAACACATGACAATATCAAAAAAAAAATAAAAGTACAGATGTGCTCAAACTGATCATTATAGGACAGAGTACAAATTACTGGGACTAATGGTCTCTTATGTGCAAAGTATAAACAAGGTTTTGTAATTCGATATTTTTGGGTCTGATTAACACTTTTTGGCTGATACTTTTAGGTCTGTAAAATTTTTTTCGATATTTTTGGGACAATTTTTATAATGGCGAATGGACTTCCCCGTATGAAAAAAGTTTGAGTAGCTCCCCTGGAATAAAAGCTCATCAGACGATTTATTAAAAGAAGAAAATAGTTTTCGAACTCTTGTAGGAGTCACTGGTTACTTACTATAAGTAGGAATAAACTAAATAAATCTTTAATCATTCAAACCAATAGAAGGGGGCGAATTTTTTCTTGTTTCAAAGGAACATTTGTAATATTTAAGACAGACCTTTTTCTGTCAAAAAAGATTTGATAAGCGAGCTAGAGATATGAAAGAAAAAAGAGATAATCTAAAAGTCATATTTAATAAGTAACTAAAAATTGAAAATAAACTTAAAGAGCGATTCAATAAAGGAATCAAAAATGGGCCTGAGATTTTTAAAGTAGAAGAAACAAAGGTTCACAAAATTTGTTCGCTGGTTTTGATAACAAATCTTTTCTTTTCATTAAAGTGAAATCTAATCTGGTTTAGTCTTCATGGTAGCCGAGGATGCAAAAATAAAGAAGGTTATCATTGTCTACGATTATAAATGTCTCCAGAAAATATAAATACAATGAAACCAAAACAACAATTTCCAAAGAGCAAAAATTTCCAAGTTGGAGAGGAAAACAAAAGTAAAAAAATATGTTATATATAACATAAGGATATATTTTTGTATTTCTAACTTTACAATAGAGTTCTCAAGTGTGACATCACATGCAGTGCCCCCACTCAGGGACAAAGACTTTCGCGAGCCAAATGAATGATAAAATTGTTGACACCAGTGCCTGAACTACATAGTGGCTTGTTGTGTTGAGGGAGAGGAGGGGTAGGAGAGGGAGGTGGGGTAGGAGAGGGAGGTGGTGTAGGAAAGGGAGGAGGAGTAGGAGAGGGAGGAGGGGTAGGAGAGGGAGGAGGGTTAGGAGAGGGGAGAGGGGTAAGAGAAGGAGGAGGGGAAGGAGAGGGAGGAGGGGTAGGAGATGGAGGAGGGGTAGGAGATGGAGGAGGGGTAGGAGATGGAGGAGGGGTAGGAGAGGGAGGAGAGGTAGGAAAGGGAGTTGGGAGTGCTTGATGGTTATAATCGTCAATATATACCTGATACCTAACAATAATACTATGATTAAAAAGTTTATTTATATAAATTTACCTGAAATAGACGCTCATTTTATACCTCATTTTAATCTTAGTTTTCAACAAACAAATATTTCAATTTTCAATTGTCCATATTGCTCCAAGCATGTGCCAGCCATGCCAACCAAGCATATTGCAAGTTACAACAGATAGTCATACTTTATTCGCTCCAAATGTAACTTCTACTCTTAGTTTACACTTCAAAGAAATTTATTAGCATAGAAATGGGTGTTAAGCACATGAGAATTAGCAAAGAAAGATGCAAAGCTTTTATGAACTGAATTTCTTAATGTTTCCGAACTGTACCTTTTCAATTTTTATAGTGAAAAAAGATGACAACTTTTAATCATTTACATACAAAATAAGACGAAATTAAGAAACAACATAATACTGCGATCCCTCAATGGGTTTGAAGTCACCAAAAACTGTTTCATGGCTTTCCTTGTTGATTTCGCAAAGGCGGCCATTGCCTGTCCCAGATTTTCTATAGTTGAAAGAAGCACAAAAACATCCATCACTACGCTGGAGACATTCAAGGCAGCGTGAGAAACATTGCTCAACTGACGTCACGGCAAGGGTCTCTACAATATGGCTCTGAAGTGCCTTTCCAGAGAACAGAATGTTGGTGTAAAATGCAACTGGAGTCTCTTCGACGATACTGTTTACTACAGAATGAAGAAAAACAAGTATATTCACTGAGAGAGTTGTCAAGATAGTCGGATTATTTGGGGGTTGTTCTGAAAAATGCGAAAAAATCTGTTGTATAAAGGATTATAAATATGCTTTAAATATGTACATAAGTAAAATATACTAAAATGTACATAAGAACAAAACAATTTTCAGCAGAAGCTTCAAGTTCCAAACTTAAAGGCACGAGGCCAGTCAACCGTTCAAAGTTCACAATAGGCTTTGCAACGAAACAGAAGGCTTTGTCATCTTCTTACTTTTGGAACAAACCAAGATGACATTAAGATCAAAATCAGCGAGGCAATTGTTATAAAAAAGCTCTGAAGAAAAACTGCTATGGGTGATAATGGATAAAAATCTTAATTTCAAAAGTCACGTCTCAAATTTATGCAAAAGAGCCAGTCAAAAACTGCATGCTCTTGCTAGAGTTTCGCCATTTATGGGTTCTGATAAACTGCGTCCCCTTAATGAACAGCTTCATAAAAGCTCAGTTTAGCTACTGCCCCCTAATTTGGATGTTCCATGACAGATGTCTAAATGCTAAAGTGAATAAAATCCACGAAAGACCACTCAGAATTGTTTATAAAGACAGTCATGCTGACTACGAAGCATTGCTAAAATTGGATAATGCAGTATCGATTCACCAACGCAATCTACAGTACTTGATGAAAACAAAACCAAACATAACCTGAACCCTAGTTCCATGAGTGAGATTTTTGAAAAAAGAAATGTACATTATGATTTGCGAACTAAAAATAATCTTTGCATTCCAAAAGCCAGGACAACTTCTTATGGTATAGAAACTGTGAGATATTTAGGTCAAAAACTGGGGCAAATTCTACCTCACAGTCAGGCCTTATTTTAAGGAAGTTTTATCACTGCACAATCAAGGTGGTTTTTTAAAAAGATTACCTCTAGAGATAGGCTGTGCAAAGTGCATGTCAGAGGCACGCATGCAATAACCGGGGGGAGCTGTAATCCCCCCAGTGGATCCAGGGCAGAGCCCTGGCAGGGGTCCAGGAGGCAGAGGCCCCGGAAGCTCGTGAGATTTTGCCATCTCTGAGGCATTAAAATGGCTTAGGATCCTGAAAATTCTCTTTCTGTACGATGATATAAAAGCACAAGAAATACACATATCGCCAACCCACTAGCAGAATATCCCTGAGGAACCAACCCACTAGCAGAAAATGACACTCAGCAAAGTGCTCTCACGTGCCGCTAAATTTGATTGAATGTTTTTAATATAATCATGACTCTTTTTTTTCCCTTCCGCATAAAGGAGATACTGCCTCAATCAAGTCCATATTAATTATTTTTGAGCAGTGAAATGATCGAAGAAAGGGAGAGAAAAGACGCAGAAAAGGATATGAGAAAACGTTTTTAAAACATAGTAGCTGTGAACTATTATACACCAGAAACTGTTGATTTAATTGCTTCGCTTTTCATACTATTACCGTTATGTTCTGTTTGTTTATTTTTTGTCACTTTTTGTCGTATGAATTCTTTATGTTGCTGTTTCAACTAATTTATCACTGAACAATTTTCCATTTTTCATGGCACGTTGTGGATTTATCATTGCACAAATTGGTTATCACTGAGCCTTAAAATAAGGCCTGCTCACAGTATAAGAGAGTCCCAATCATTGGCAACATTAAAAAAAGAATTTAGAGCACACCCTGTAGAATGCGACTGTATATTATGTAAAATATTTTTTGCTGGTTTAGGTTTTATTTAGAATATTATACCTTAAACATTTTTAACATTGTACCATATTTATTTTATACTAATTCTTCATAGATAGTTGGCCTCAATTAGCTTCTTCATAGCGTTTAGACGTTCATTTATTCCGCCAACTTTAAACAAATTATTTATTATTATTATATTTAATATTATTATTGTTATTATGATCACATGTTTAATATCGAGAAAACATTGAAGATTAAGCGATTGGATACGTTACAATAGGTCTATTGTCTATTTAAACCAATGGGAATTTAACTGGCCAGCGAAATGCGTCGGGACATTTGCCCCTAAAGCATTGATCTATCAATCATATATGAAAGTAAACAACCCATAAGAAAAAACATTACATACTTGTGAATGTTGTTATGACAGCTTTTTCTGAAATCAAGTTCTGGTCCTCTCTGTCAATTAAACCAAAGTAGTGCACGTAAAAAATGTATGTGGTAGATTGATTGAGTCCGTTTACAACATAGCTGAATGGATGAATCCTAGCCAAAAGTATCTTCCTCGTCTCGTTTTCGTACCCTTGTCTGTGAAAATGCAGCTCTAGCTTTGATGCGTACGTCCAGCTATCTTTCTTAGGGAGATAAGGCTGGGACAGAAATTCAACTAACACAGCCGTTGAACCGCTCAATGATATTGCAGGGACGGGGATGCTTTTTGCTGTTTCTTCTGCAGGGTTGAAAAGAGAAAACATAATTAATCAAACTTACAGGTAATTCAGCCTTTTTTTGAAATTATATCCTTACACTTCTTTTAATTTCATTTTGATAAAAAACTAGAACATAACGGCTAACAATGCACGCAACGACTTCAATGATAAAAGCACTTTGCTTTTTCTGAACATCAAATAAAAAGGTGGGAGAATTTAAAAAGTGGTTAAGACGTTTCTCACTCCCGACTGGTCATTAAACATCATTCTAGACGCCAAAATGTTTGCTACAATTTCAACTTTCATAACGCCAGCATATCTTTTATTTTGCAATATTTACATAGTATATCTATCTGCCTTGACTAGTTTTGGTTTAAAAGAACAGTAAATGTAATGGCTTAATTGTGATCATTGGTAAGAGAAGTCAACTTTACACATGTTCTCGTATAATAGGTGGCATAGAAAAATACGAACTCTAGCAACACGCATTGCGAGTTCATTGCTTGAGAACTTCATACCTGTTTTAAGATTGTAAAGCATTCCACTCCATGACAAAAAACTATTGTTCAGATATGTATACTTTATTTGGATGATTTCAACCTGTGATTGCTCACCAAAGAACAGTTTGATTGGATAGAGGGTATTGGCTGATAACATGCTAGCATTGGAAATAACTGGACTTTTGTTCCTAAATTTGAAGAAGGGGTAAAAACGTCATTTTTGTTGTGCTCAATGGCTCATTCATTGCCACTAAAACATGCAAAATACCTAATGCAACAGCGATATGCACCGAAATATGGATAATAAACAACATAAAAGTGAAGATATAATAAATGAAATAGCGAATAAATATTGTGAGTTTTTAATGGCCAGGTGTATGATACGTCATTAAAAGCTGACGAAAAGAATGAAATAATTTCAAGTGGGCACGAATTCTCAAGGCTTAGGGTTAAAGCGTTGGACTTTCTGTAATACCATTCCATTACTACACTTAACCGTCATATAGATCTTTAGGATGGAAAGGATGTTCTATAAACAGTGACAAGCACAAATAGAAGCAATTTTATGGTACCGTCACGTGTAATAGTATTTTTGGCTGTCTCTTAACGGTATTTCATACGAAGCTTCTGATCAATTCTTAAAGACAATTTTATTAAAGCTAGTTGAAGTTATGCAAAGATTTGAAACTGATACAAGAAAGCAGTACTATTGTTAGAAGGAAGCTGCCTTGATCAACGATTCCCTGTTAATTAAAGATTTAGAATCAGTTTCGTATTATTTGTGTACACTAAGAAAAATTAGATGAATGTCATATCGTCAGTCAACTAGTTTTGTGCATCGTGTTTGTGGTTTGTTAATAAGGATATCTTTCAATGTTTGCATTCAGGGGGTCGCCAAATGCAATACCCCCCCCCCCCACATTTTCTTCATCGGCACATTAAGGATTTTTGCCGGGAAAATGATGGCATTTTGTACTCACTGTGTAACCTTTTTGCAACAACTGTAACATATTAACATTTCTGTGTAGTTGAACTTTTAAAGTATGGCACTAGAGTATAAACTTTGAAACAGAAACGCATAATGATAGCATGTAAGAGTTTTAATATTTTGAGCACAACCTTAAAGCGTGAGACAAAATTTGTTGCCCTTTTTGTCGGCAAAAGTCACCTCTTCAACCTTCCAAACAACAGTCTTGGCTATATCCCTGTTTGCATCTGTCCAATTTGATTGTCTTCGTGCCATGTCCATTTTCCTTAATTTGTGTCAGTAGGGTTTGAGTGCGTCAGGTGGTTAAAAACATATATTATTAGTCCAGTCGAACCGACGTTGTCGTCGCATCAAGACATAGTTTTGTTATTGCTGGTTGCATTTAAAGGACGAAATTACGAACTGGAGTCTGATTTCTCGTCTTATTTTGCTTTGTATAAAACGTAATTTTTCAATATGAGCAAATGTAAAATCGACACAATTGCAAAGATGTCAAATGGAAAAACAGAGCTACAATCATTGCCAAAAGTACTTGGAACACCTAGCAATATGCATTGCGTTTTTATACAGCAATTCTTTTCCCAAATACTCCTACTTCCGCATTCCCTTGCCCCCTAAAAAGTTTTGATAATTTAGAAAAAATATCAAAAATGTGGTAGGAAGAAACGTACTTCCTAATCCCTTACGTCGCTTTTGTGAACCAACATTGTTCGAAGGGGAGAAGGGGGATAGCTGACTTTGCTCTTGTAGCAAATGTCAAGCAAAAATCGGAATGAAAACGATATGCTATAATTGTCACAGTTTGTGAACCAGAAAAAGAAAAATTTTTGCTTACCAGTCAATTATATACCTGACAATACTGGTCTCTAAGTTGTTTTTCGTCATAAAAAGATCACATAAATCATCGCAAAGATGAATTGTAAAGCTGTAAAAAGCTGAAAATGGTACTTTCACGTAGCCAGTGTAGAGGACAGCAAATTTATCACCATTTGAAGAGGTTGCACTATCAAATAAAGTTGATTTGCATCCAAATGCTGTAGGGCTGCCCGGGTAGCTCGGATTATTGCTGTACACATAATCAATTGCGTCCGGTTGTCCAACTTTGATATGTTCAATGGTGTATCTTTGAGCCAGTAATCCATCCCATTTGTAATGTTCTAAAACAAATGGTTTGCCTTGACACAAAAAACATAAAACATTTTGGCTTATTGAAAATATCTTTACTTCACAGATTGTGTTTTATTAAGGATAATTCTGTAATGATTAAATATCTAGGAAGTTGGATGGTTGACAATGGAAAATGTGAAGAGAAGTATGAAGAAGAATTGGAAAAGCGAAAAGGTAATTCTGGAAGTTAAATGAATTTTTGAGAAGCAACATCAATATCAATCTAAAACTACGATTGTTAAAAACCTGCATTTTTACAGTAGTTAGATAAGGAAGCAAGCTTGGACCTTCAGCAAAACTATATAAGAAAAACTTCAGGCTTTTGAGCTAGAAAGCTAGAAAGCTAGAAAGAACAAACTTTAAATGAAAAAGTGCTTGATCTGGTGGTTTGCAGGGCATGTGTCGAGAGGTTTATCCAGATTTTTACATAGATTCACTCTGGGAGGTGTGAAAGAAGGTAAGAGGGATCGAGGAAGGCAGCGAAGAACTTGGGGAGATGATGTCAAGGAGAGGAGCGGGTGTGACAGCTTTGGAAGTTCTAAAAGAGTGTAATGGAGGGTCATGGTAGAAGATGGTAGAGGGTACCTAATAGAAAATGGTACTGATGATG